ACATACAGAACAGCGTTTCTGTGCGGAATTCCAAAAATGGGCAACAATAAATTTATATGCAGAGCTGTAAATTTATATTTAAAAGACAGTAATAAGGATAGGGTACCTTATCCTTAAGGAAAAAAATCTCTGATTTCAGAGCGTCCTCGAGATGTTCTAAGGCTGCCTTCGAGTCGATAAGTTCCTCCTTCAGTTGGAGACATAGTAGCTGCAGTTCTTCTACGGTTTGAGGCAAGTCGATCTTTTCGCGTCTCAGCTCTTCGGCGCGTTTTTGATGACGACCCAAGAGGCGTTCATATTGCACACTAAAAACAAAATATTATCTTACAAAAACTTCTACTGAATCTGAAGTATAATCAAATTATAAGTATGTGCTTGCAAACTAGCTTTTTGGCATTCGGTGATATAACGCAATTAGAATTCAACATTTAACTTGAATTATGCAATCCCTATTGACCTCACTCATCCAATACATCAAAACCTGCAGCGGGCGCAAAAACAGAAACCTGCATCAAATTATGTTGTCTGTGATGTCATCTCAGAATCGTTTAAAAGTCTGGCTATCTAACCGACCGTGAGAAACATATGCGAAGAACTCAAAATAAAACTTGACCTCGCACGTACGTTTTTTTTAAACTTCAGCTATACTACTTTGTTTGTTCTACCTTTTCTTTCTTCAAAGCTGTCGTGTGCACAAAGCATTTTGCTCGATTTTCATGTGCTTTAGCCAATCGGAGAGGTGGAAATAGATGAACATAGGTTATAAGATTGAGCGCAAAGACTGTGACAAGATCCACATCGGGAAAACCATTCGAATACTGGATAATAGGGTAGAGGAACACCTGGCAGCACTGAGGGATGAGAAATGACAGCATCGTTTCCAGATTGATGATTTCGACTTGGAGCACTTCTTTAGTTCGACTAATGTCATTTTCACTGATAAAGAGAGAACAAACATAGGTTATTAATTACCGAATCGTTATACATGTTGATCAACAAAAGTCGACTGTGTAAAGAATGCAGGCGCTAATTTCATTTAAGTCACAGCTCGAATATCATCCGCTAACTTGTTCGAGAGAAATAATCGAACAAACAGTACTGTCGCCGAAATATTACATAACTGTCTTCCATGATATCGTCCTGCTTCATTTGTATATTATTAATTTGTTGTTATTGCCTCACTAAAACTATTAATACCAACATAGCGTCATACGCAAAGATATATTTGATAACCGGGGCATAACTGCTTTAAGTGTGGCTTTATAATGAACGGCAAAAAAGAGCCGTTAAAGCAGGCCGAAGTTTCACTGAATTCGAGATGCCTCCATCCGCTGCAGAAGCCGATAAAATACAATGGAACTGCGGTTAGTTCAAACGGCTCCCTGCGCATCTACGTGGAAAGAATAAACGCCGTTCACTACGAATATTAGATCATAAGACGACAAAATATGGTGTTGTGCTTAATGAACCGCTTGGTGCTGCATCTACAGTAAGATAAGCGGCGTGTGACTTTATAAATACTTAATGAATTTTGAAACTCATTAAAAAAAGTTTTCAGAATTATAATTGCTTATGAGCATGATTTTCAATTCTCGCTCAGTTATTAAAACTATAGCTAATTTATTGATCCATGGTAAAGCGCATTACATCCAACGATGATGTTAATACTTCTAGCGTTAACCCGTTCAGAAACCACTTTGGAAAAAACAATTTGTGCCCTCATTATGGCTGCAAAACGTTTTGACAATAAAAACTTTATCTGTGTTTTATATGATGCCTTCAACCATGAATCAGCGTATTAATTACAACTGTTTACTAATTTATGCTAAGAGCAATGTCTTAGTTCTATGAAACGCCCTTGAAAAACAATGT